AAATTCAAGCTTTTGTCATCCCTATTACTTTACCATTGTGCTGTTACTATGTCAAAGGCTCCAATACAGAAGCAAGAAAATTCTCCATAAATACAAGTCTTTGATAAATTGAAAAATCATGTAGGAATAAAGGAACATGATTAAAAAGTAATAAGCACTGCGTTTTCCTAGTTTACTACACATCATAAGGCGAGGGAATAGCATTAATAGTGGACTTAAATAAAGTGAAACCAAAACACTTGACCCAAATCATTATGTTTCTTTGGTCCACAATCAAAGAAAAAGTCATAGAACACACAAAGAATTTCCCTGCTTGGTTAAAAAGTCTAATATTTTGAACGAAAATTTATACTTACTAAAAACTTTGTAAAAGAAGGTTACTCTTTTCATTCCTTCCTTTCTTCCATTGGATCTTATAACTACAACCTGGGTATTAAAATTTCTTGCATAGATTTTAGTATATTATTTATGGGAAGAAAAGTGATGAGAGAATGAAATACGAAGTCATGAAGAAGGGATGAAAATGAAGTGAGCAATTTTAGACTGGGGATAAGAAATGAAAGAAGAGAAAGGTGAAATGGTGGAGGGACCAGTACAAAAACTTACATTTACCTAGATGAGCCACATTCATAATGCACCTGAAGGAAGCCCATGGGGTGTGACACCCCAATGGCCAGGGGCTCCATAGGGGCATACCTATGAAAGTCTGCACCTTCTTCACCCATACAGAAAAAGGGGAAGAGGCAAAGAAGCCAGTGTTGTGTTGCAGGGACAGGCACAAGTGGTATGTGACCATCTGAATACTTACATACAAGTAATTGGATAGCCAATTTATGTAGTGTGGTTGGGACTCATTCAGACCGTATCTTCTGTGCTCACCTCACCTCTACCATGAAGCTCAACAGGTCAAGGACAAAGTTCTAGATACAGCAAAAAAAACCTAGGAAAATAATGAAGACAGATACCATTTAAACATCAGACCAGGCTACCAGGATGAAGGAACACCACTGAAGGCATATGGGTAAAGAAAGACAGCCAGTTGAAATAAGTACACAAAAAGAAGGAAGGGATACAGTAAAGTGGAATGACCCCAACAAATCCCGGCAGCAGGGGAACAAAGTATGAAATGATAGAGCAGAAGAAATGAAAGAGGCTAAACAGAGAAAGGAACATTAAGAAGTGCCTCAATAAAAGGTGGAGTTGGAGAAGAAACACAGAAGGCTAGAGAGAAAAAAAAAGAAAAATACTGAAAATGGGAAACTAAGAAGTGAAATAGAAGTTAAAGGGTTCAATCCCCAAGCTGGTCAGATAGATACCAATGACAGGGTATCAGGAAAAGAAAAGAATGAATGTCTACAAATCAGGAAAAAGTGTCACATACATGAGGGGGACAAGGCATTTGGGTTTAAAACGGATCTATTATATAAAGGAAAAGTATAAAACCTAATAACAAACAAGAAAACAAATAGATAAACCCAAAAATCATGAGTAGTTTGGTTGGTTATTATTAGAGCAAAGCCCCATTTGGCTATCTGCTGTGTCCACCATGATGAATCAAACCCAGATTTTTGGGTTGTAAGACCATAAACTTACCACCATCTCATCAAGGGAGGAATTTATTGGTCAAAAAATAATAAAGAACAAAGGCAAAAGAGATGAAAAGGAACATACTTGAGAATGAAATCCAAAACGAGATTGAAAGATTAAGGTCGTTTTACAAATGGTAAAGCATATCCAAAACAAATCAGGTGAAGTGATCATTCCTGACTTAGAAGAAAGAGATTCAGCCGATGAAATGGGAGTAAAGAGCCAATAAATCATGTGGTAATCCACAACACATTGAACAATCACTGCAATGAACCTGACAGTTAACAAGCCTCCAAAATTCCCAGCAGAAATATGGCTTAAAGTGTGAACAATGTCCTATACTGTACTATAAATTACCATCACTTGAGAAATCATAGTAAAAAATTATAGCTTTTGAAACAAAAGCTAAAGAAAATGAAAATCAAAGTTGCCTTAATGATGTAAATCTCATTAAATTGATCACAAACAAGAAGTTTAAACATATCTGTATGCTACAATGCTAAGGAGAATAATGAAGATTCACAAGTGCAAATGAATAGTGGGAGTTAGTGTGCTGGAGGTGTGTTGTCCTCCTATTCTCTTCACATAAAATCACATGAAACTAGGTGGGAGTTGCCTAAAGCCTAGTTGCATGCACATCTCTTTAGCATATGTGTGAGGAATAAGGCTAAACTGTGCGTAGAGGCGAGTTATCGTTTTGAAATTATGTTTCACAAAGTTATTTGTGACAATTAAAGTTTTTTTGTCTGCACAGAATTCTCTAAGAATGTTTTGGACATACAGAGGTATGCCACTTTTTCATTTCTGCAACATAGCTCACTAAAGACTTGTTTGAAGAAAGTAGATCATATTGCATGAATTTTTAAACAATACTGCAGATTATAAGACATATTTTGACCCAATGAAAAACAAACTATGGGTTTTTTCTGACATTTTGTGAGAAGTGCATCACATTACTTAGCTAGGCACTCAGTGTTAATTCGTCAAACATCATGATGTCATTTCAACCTTCATATTTTTAAGTGACTTATCATCTTGAATATTATGTTCCTCTTTAGAACTTAATTGTACAACATAAATGTGCTTCTTAACTGCTTCCAGAAGTAATGACGTTTCATTAACCACAATGTTTTTCACCCACTGATGAACACAAAATTGGAAAAACATCACCCTTTCTAGCATTTGTGCAAATTGTTAAAGAAATGTCCAACAGAAGATTTGAAGTTTCTTCCACTTGTCACAAACTTTGACCTAAAACTACTGTGCACAGTATGTAGATCACGACAAATACTGATCTTTTCATGATCTGTTCATAAACAATTGTATGTTTTTGTTATAAGATTTTATACTTAGATAAAAACTCACCATCATGTCTGCTGTCACATACTCAGAGAAAATACTTCATTATCAAGATCATTTACAGAATAATACCAGAATCTAATATGGATGACCTACTGCCTATTTTATATACATTTGTCCAAAGTTTCATAACATATAGTATGAAACTATTCAGTTTACAAATGTCTTTAGACATGTGTTTTCTTTCTTATTTTTTAAAATAAGATACAAAGCAATAGTTTACAAAGTAGCAGAATTTGTTCTTGCTTTTGGGAAATATTTAGCGATCACATTATGTTTTGAACATATTCCTCTACAAATTATCAATCAATGTTAAGTTGTTACATAAATAATGAGATGAAATAACATTTTTGGTCATACTGAAAAAAAAATTTAATTCTGCAGATAGTACAAGAATCTCAGAATAAAACTAGAGGGGCACTCAGTAGAGCACGTACCTCTGCCACACAGCATTGATCACATTTGGCCCTAAAAAAATATGAAAATGTGTCCATACATCCATTGTTACCAATGGACACAGACCATTCTTTTTTTCAGGACAATAAGGAATAACGTTCTACATAGTTCCACCAAGTTGCATCAAAATCCAATAATTTTTGACTGAGTTAATAGAGCAAACATAGTGTGAAAAGTTACTCCCCACATTTACAGATAGGGATTTTTTTTTATTTTCATGACCTTGACCCTCCAAAAACTAATCACTTCTAAGTTGGGTCATAGTCCAAATGTATACCAACTTTCATTCAAATCCATTCAGATATTTTCAAAAAATCTTGTCAACAACCCCACACAAACACACGGGTAAAAACATAACCTAGGTAATAAGCATAAAACAACCACTGTGAGCTTCTAACTACAACAAAATTTATTGAATGTTGAGATATAACACATTACCCATCATAAAAAGTTTTTCCATCAATTTGGACAATAACAACTCTTCCTTCTTTGTCATGTCCTACTACAGTACGTGCTGATATGACATTGACAAACTTTTCCACAGTTCCTGAAAATAAGTTACAAAAAACACACAACACAGTTACAAGGAACTATTCTGTTAGCCATTTTCACTAATCACATACAATTATCATTACTAATTCAAATTTTAAATTACATTAAATGGACATAAAACTCACAAAATCTTTTATGTTTTTGTTTGAAACAAAATTATGCTTTCACAGTTTGAAAAATTTAGCAAGTCTCGAAGAAAAAAGATCCCAGTTCTTAAGTTTTCTCATCAAATAAAGACAGTAAATGCACGTTTTTATCTCACCAGTTTCTTCTGTGTCTTCACACTCTAGATATTTGCTAAAATTTACAAATGACTGTCCATTTCTCAATATCCATCCTACTCCAGTTACTAGTTGCTGGAAGTCCCCTGGCCCATTTTGAATTTCTTCTTCTGCAAGGTATCTAAGTATAGAAAATAAATAAATTATTTTCTGGAAGGGGGGGCTAATATTGTTTTCATGAGTGAAAAAAAATTAACACTTATTAAATCAAAACATAAAGTGCTAAGTAATTTAAGGAATGAATCTAAACAAATATGAATGTTTGGACTCTGGTATGAAAATAAATAAAACTTACAGTGGTAAAATAGTACAAACAAGTTACACTGTCAAATAAAACTATAAAAAGTTTTTTGAGATTTCCAGTTAACATTTTCCTTACCTGAAAATGTATTTCCAATAAATACTTACCTCTTCACAGAATTAAGCTATCTTCCCCACACATCTGCATTAGAGACTTGCACACCACTAACCTTTAGGCAACTCCCACCTAATTGCACAAGATTTCTCAAGAATTGCGCTGCTGCATAATGATGTTATTATGCAACAATCGACACACCTTTTGAGCACTAACTCCTTCTTTTGCACTCATGAATCTTCATTCTCTGACAAGACAAAGGTTTACCTAGATGAGTTTCCTTCAGAAAGTGCCCAAAGGAAAACTCATGGAGTGTGACACCTGATGGTAGGGAATCCATGTTATACACCTGTGGGAGATCGCACCTCATCTTTTCCAGGGTATATTCTTCACACAGGAAAAAAGAAAGAGGCAAACAAGTCACAGGGAAATGTACTCAGTTGGCTAAAGATCGGAAGTAGACTGTAGAATGGAGGCAGGCAGTAACCTTCAGAAAATTAGACAGCCAGATGATGAAGACAGTGTGTGACAAAGGTGTGAGAGGTAGTCCACATGCTAGATTGAAGGATATCATCTAGCAACTGTTGGAAATAAGCAGCAAGTAAATGAGTGAGGTGACATATCTGAAGGAAAGAGATGCAGAACAGTCTACAAGTCTTGGCTCCCAATGAGGATTTGATCAAATATAGAAACTGATGGAAGCCATGAAAATGAGAGGTATGAGCAAAGTAGCAATAAATGGCACAAATGTCTATCCAAGTCCAATCTATCATATAGATGTGAAGTAGAAGGAAGGGAGATAAGAGTGGCTGAAGTCTTAGATAGGAAGGATTGGTTAGGATAAAGAATATAAGAATGATTGAGAGGAGTATGGGGAGAGTCAATAGCATAGATATCTGAATGACAGTGACCACAAGCAAGAAGTATGAGGAAATAGGTCTTGAGAGAAAAGTGATATAAGTTGCTGGTTACCTACAGCTTGAAAGGGACATGGTTAAGAATATGCAGGACAACATTAAGATCCCAGATGAGCATGGGAACAGAACGAGAGGGTCTATGGATACGGAAGGACCAGAACAAGGTGGAAAGAACTTGGAAGAAAAACATCTTGCAGTATAGAGAAAGGTGAAATGTTATAGACAAGGTCACCTGCTAACCAGCAATGGTGGAGACAGCTGATCCACTGTTGAACAGTCAGGTAAAAGGATGAGATATGGCTGATCATAAGACAGTCAGGAGGAAGATGGCTACAAATGGACCAACGTTGAAAGACACGCCATTTACACAGGTAGATGGATAGGGTAGAAGGACGACAGTAATGGGAAAGGTAAAAGTATACTAGATTGGAAAGTCCAGTACAGTGGGTGATGTACCGGACAATTCCCAAACATGAAGGTGAAGGAACAAAATCTTGTGATGTATATATCTTGTGGATATATATATAGGGCAGCACTGAATAAAAATAGTTATTTATGTGAGTAGAGGTAAGGTACCATATCAGAAATTAAGCTAATGGCTTGGGACATAATACATACATTCCAGAATTTAAATTGTTGTTTTTTTATTTTATACTATGCATTCTTGAAATAAACAAATCTAAATAAAATATGTTGCATACTGTGTTCTTTCTGAAATACTTAATACACATTAAATAATATTTCGATTTTCTTAAAAATAACCAAGACATGGATGTGTAGATGTCATCTTGGTCATTCAATACTGTTTATGTACCAGAAGACATAGCTAGACATACTTTTAATTCAGAAAAAGTAAGAACAAGATATGTCTTCAAGAGATCTATTACAAAGTAACTATTATTCATCTACTTGGGATACATGAACAGGGTGGAATAAACTGTCATTTTAATTGTCAAAAACTATCTGAATAGCATCATTAGCTAGAAATTCACAATCTTCTATTTTCATGAAGAAATTATTGTAGATACAACCTGGAAGAAGAGGAATATAAAAATAAACTTGAAAAAAAAAAGAGAAAAATAAATAGTTAAAGTCTGTCAAAATGCAAGCAGTTAAAGATTTGTTTGTTTTGAATTTCGCGCAAAGCTATCTGCACTAGCCGTCCCTAATTTAGCAGTGTAAGACTAGAGGAAAGGCAGCTAGTCATCACCACCCACCGCCAACTCTTGGGCTACTCTTTTACCAACGAATAGTGGGATTGACCATCACTTTATAATGCCCCCATGGCTGAAAGGGCGAGCATGTTTGATGTGAAGGGGATTCGAACCCGCGGATTGCGAGTCGAGCGCCCTAACCACCTGGCCATGCCGGGCCTTTTCAGCAGTTAAAGGATCCAACAATCTAACACAATAATAAAGGAAGAAACAAAACAAAAACAAACTGTATAAAACTGTGACAAATACCCTGAACCTTTGACAGCCCAACCTAAAAATATAACAGAATATAAGAAAGTCTTTGAAACTGATATATGTAACTGTTTATAAGAGTTATCTCACAATTTTTATTACACAGAAAACAATAAAATACAGCAACAGTAGCAATCTTTTGGAAAGTCAAAGCTAAAGCATAAGTACCAGCTTTAGAACAATTTTAAGAAATCACCTAAACAAGTTGGTTAACACCAATTCGACAGAAAATCAAAGAACAAATTGGAAGTAAGAAACAAAACATGACATTTAAGATTGATCACAAGTTATACAGCAAGCATGGCGTGTAGATCTGAAGAGGGAAATTTTGGTTCAATCAGGAATAATAATTTCATCCGGTTATATATATTGTTCAAGCTTTTAACTAAAAAGTTAACATTCGAACATGTAGCTTTATGTTCATCCACAGAAAATTATCACAAATTAAAATTGTAATTTCATCAATGATTAATAATACCACTGACAAGTGCCATTGGAGTGCAAAACATAAGAGAAAAGTCTAGGATTGTAGAAATACTAGATCTATAACAACACTAACCCTGTGAAGATAGAGCCATTTTTTGTTATACCAAAATGAGTGTTTTGGAGCCCACCAGAATCATGAACTTTTCTTCCATCACTGACCAAATTCCCTGGAAAGATTATTAAAAAGAACAAGTATTTTCTGTAAATATATTCAGAATTTGAAATTATGAAAATATTATAAAATATGTAAAAGTTAGAAAATGTAGAACTTGAACTTAACACAAAGACAAATACGTGAAAATTTTAAATACAGCTTAGATATAAAAAAAAAGGTATTTATTATGCAATACAATGTTTCTTCAGTTATTTAGTTTGTATATAAAGGAATGCAGCAAATGTTTTAATTCAGTAATGATGGATTATTTATTTCACACTTAAACCTACATATCACATTTTTAGAATACGCAGGAATTATATTTATCTCTATTATATAATTTTCATGAATTATGCATAACACAGAATTACTTTTGATGTTTGTTGAAATATACTCTTCCTAATGACTTGGCTTGAAATAGGCTCTGATTGATATACGTATACAGAACTTTCAACTAAATAGTTATGTCCCTTTAACCAAAGGGGAGTGATTTAAGTGTCAACCATTATGGTATTAATTAAGCCTGTGCTTATCGAGCAACATTTCATTATCGATCTGAGATGTCCATACATTTCTAAGTCTGCTGATATGAAAGAATACGGTTCAGAGAAGAAATGTTATAATCTACTGCAGTAATAACCAAAATAGGTTGTACTTGTGGCAAAAATTGATATGTGTGCTTATGGGATATCACACACAGTGTGTCCATGTTTACAACTGTTCAAGATGTATGTATACTGCTGAGTTATTAACTAAGAGATGGAAGACTGAACTGACTTAAAGCACTTCAAAGAAAATACTTCTAATCTCTACCTCAACCCCCAAAAAAGGAAAAAAAGAATGATCTACTAATATACTTACAGTGGAAGTTCTACAAGGTCAAAACCTGCCCACTTAGCAATTTACAGACCATCCCAACATAAAATGAATTTACCACATAACATGAGTGAGACTATCAATAATATTAACTTCTGTGTGTTTCTATACAATTTCTATAATGATATAAAATTGTTACAGAACACTCTCTGCTTCCCAACACAGACATTGTGAATTATTTTTATTTGCTTTTAGATATCAAAAGCTGAACTTCTTAATTCTTATTTACCATTTTGTTATTAACCTTTATGGGAGCTTCAAGGCTTGTGGGATGCAGAAAATTTTTTTTGCATATAGAGGGCAGCACTGAACAAGAATAGCTATTCCTGTGAGAAAAGATAATGTACCCTATCAGAAAGGAATTATTTGCACGTTATGCTAAGCAAAGAGGAAAGTGATTTACAACTGGGGTTATTTTGTTTTGCAAATTGCAATGCATACCCAGTTATTTTGTCCCCTGTCACAGCATAAAAATGTGTACTGAGAACTTTTATCTTGTATCGTAGAAACTAGAAGTTCTTGGAAAATACACAATGTATCATATAAGGCCCAACATGATGTAATCACTGAATGAATATAAACAAATGAACTTTTTTAGAAGAGATCCAAAGTAGGAATCTGATAAGAAAGCTCCTTGGAAATTTCATCATAATTTAGTGAGCTGGTTTAAGGCAGATTTTCATGTTTCAAGTGACATGACCCTCTGTATAGGAATAATGAATAATATGCTTAACCAAGTAGTTAGTTAGTCAGAGACTTACAGTCTCCTTTAAAAAAGCCATGCAAATTCAGTCCACTATCCATATTTAGCTTTAAAATGAAGCATGTAGTTAGTCAAAGTTACTGTCAGATCTTAAAAATAATACATATATATATACACACACACTTTTTTTTTTTTGCCTAATTTTTCTTTTTTGAGAACTGCTAGTTACTATTACTAAACTTAGTAGGACTCCACCTAATAATTCAAACACTGCATGCTGATAAAAAACCAGATACTGAAGTGCAAAAAAAAAAAAGTAATACTGCACTCCAAGATAATTAAGGATGTGGATTTTATACAGAACTGTTTTCAAATAGTGCACTATTTACAAGTTTAATAGAGCCTGTTGTTCATGTTCAAAAAGGGTCATCCAGACACATTTCACAGTGATGGAAAAAGGTCGTTTTTGACGTTCATATTAAAATTGACCAAACAAATTAGGAAATTGTTGACAGAGATTGGGTAGTTTAAAATGAAGGAACAGAATAATTCTTTTGTTTTCCATAAAGATTATTCAGTTTAAACCCAGATTCTTGCATATTGATTTTGTCAAGTGAGAGTGGCTGGAAAAAAGAAGGAATTTTCATGGTGAAAACTGTGTCATAAATTTCCTGCTCACAGAATAATGATCATCACAAATGACAATATTTAAAGAGGAGACCTGCTCAAGGAACTGATATAAATTCACAGCTAGATAAAGAAATAACAACTTAAGTGAAGTATTGGAAGGACCAATTTGACCAAGTTCTCTAAATGGCCCATGTTCCTGAATGAAAAAGAATTTGTGCTCAGGAGCATTTCAAAAAAAAATCAGACAGCCATAATGACAATTTTCTTGAAATTATTGAATTACTTGCCAAATTCAGTACAGTTCTTCAGACTCATCTTGCTAAAACGAGACAATCTCAAAATGATGGAAAATGACTTCAAGCTCATTATTTTTCTGCAGACTTTTAGAATGAGTTTATCCAAAAGTACCACAGTGAATACTATCAGAAAGACAAAAATCTAAATATTTCTTGTAGTAGTTCATGCCACCCCTGATTCTTCTCATACAAAGTACAATCATTCTAACATACTTTTTAGATAACAATATATATGTTTCTATCAAAGAAAGATTTCTAGTTTGTTGACTGCAATAAAAAAAAACTAGATGAGATGTTACTAATCTCATCATGAGTGAACTGAGAAAACACAATAACCCATTACAAAACTGCAGGGGTCAGTGAGTATGACAACGGTTTGAATACTGTACTTTTCCAAATATAATATGCAATTTTTTTCACTAAAAATTTATCTAGAAGTTAAGAGTGTAAAATAACAAATCCATGTTTTTTAAAAACCAGTCCAGACCATCTTTTCCAACATACGTTGTGAATGATACTGCATACTTACTAGAAATGCTGTGTTTCAATGGTATGTCATGTTAATTCTCTCTGTTTCCAAGACATAAATCAGAATTGTTGCTCCATTCTCATTCATTTTCAGTATCTTTAAACATGATTTTTGAAATAAAATGATCAAGAAGCTAAGTCTTGTGTGCTTTAATATTTATATAAGTGCACACTTCGAAATGTTTGGAAATACAGAACTAGTTATCGCTACATTATGTTTGATATTCCAAAACTACAAATCATTTTGATGAAACCTTCAAATTCTGAGTCCAAGTCTCTCTTCTTGTACAGTTGGTGCTATTTTTCTACCAGCTGTAAATGAGTTTATGAGATAATTTACTTGCTGGCCACAATTGCCAAATAGAAAATACTAAGGTGAACTCACTTTTAAAGATTTTACAAATTTCTAACATTTGAAAATGCTTACTTGCCAGCTGTAATTGCAAACACAGTAAGCACTACAGTGAACATACAAGTCACTGCAGTATTTGAACACACAACTTTAAGCTATGAGCTCCACAATTAGAAAGTCTGGTGGGAGGAATAACTTCAGTTATTCTGGATATATGTGCCAAATATACCATAATTTTCCAAATATAATATGCACTCTAGTTTTCATAAACAAAGAGTCAAGTTTGCTTTATTGTCATAAATAATATCCATCTAGACTTTTGCAATGCAATGGTCAAAGTAACTCTTTGAAGACAAGAATGTTAAGAGTGTTCATATAATCTCTAATTGAGGTATTTAATACAAAGATTGGATGCTCATTACATAATCTTTGTGAAACTAGATTGTCAACTCACATGGAAAGTGTTAAACCAATGGCAAAACACCTGCTACTGATAAAACATGCAACTATTGAGTACCAAGAACTAAATTTGTTTCCCAATTGCAAAACACAGTTAAAAGAAATTCAGTGCTACATAAAGTCATTCAAATGTATTTTGATGGCAACGATATAGTCAAAATGTTGTTTGCCTAGATCAGTACAATAAGGTTCTTAAATCAAAAGGCAACTTTTGATGTAGAAGTACAAAACATTGATAACTTAGTTGAGGAGCTTAAAAGAGTTAATGATCAGTGAGAAACTCTTCTATCATAAGACAAGCACGTGGCTGAAGCCATGCCATCAGACCGGCTAATTAACTGAAACTGAAATCTCGAGAAGCATTCAAAGAAAAGATACTGGTTTCACAAGGAAATCCCAGAAATCCAAGTGGGAAAAGAAAATGCACAGAGGGATTTTAAATGTTTTTCACAAGCTTGTTGACTGTGTAATTATGGGATTAAAACAGCAGCTCATCATAGCCAAAGTTCGTTAAACTTTTTGTGGTTATTTATGGAATTCATTAATACTTAGATTGAAAACTTATGTTCAGTTTCCTGCAGAGAATATGAGAACAATATATTCATGGACATCAAAGGCAAAATTTGGAAGTAAATGTCTCAAACAATTAGAATTTTGAAATAAATTTTGAGACCTTCAGTTTGAAAGTCTTCTTAACGTCAGTGTAACTATGCAGATTTTCTGTAACACACTCATCACTGTTTCTAGAGCTGAAAGGTCTTTTAATAAAATGAAGAAAATCAAGTGCACAAGAACCAACAATCCAACAAGAAAGACTTAATGGTCTTGCTTTTCTGGCTGTTGAGCATGAACTTGTTTGGTATTACTTTGAAAACATAACTGATGATTTTGCAAGAAAAAATATATAAGAGTTGCATTTTAAGATTCCTTACCATTTGGATGCTACGTGAGTACTTTTTTTACACCTTTAAACACCTGTTTAATTATTGTATATTTTGTTTGCATATTTCTGTTTGAATCACAATTTGATGTTAAATTAGCCTAATTGATGTTAACTTCAGGGGTTTCTTTGTGCTTTTCTAAGTGTTTTACACAATATTTTATTTCATAGTGTATTCATTTAACTTACATATATATATACAATTAAAAATATAAATTCCAGACTTTATATTTAGCACAACAATTTGATTAATATTAGAACTGTAACTTTCAAAGAAAATGTTTATGATATCAAGCAACAACACAAGTTAGAAAAGATAGGAATCTAAGATAAAAGTAGTAGCAAGAGTTAGTAAGAATGATTAGGAGTCTATGATCCAGAACTCACCAACTGAAAAAAGAATTAAGAACTACATATTTATGAGGATACATTAGACTCTGAAAATTAATAACCTATATATATATGTATAATGTGCTTGTGTGTATGAATGGGTGAGTGGAATCTTATAAGTGTACACCAAAACACTAACAAAATAAAAACTGAGATGTTACGTATCAGGAAAGGCTAAACAAAAATGTAGTAAAATGGTAGAAAAAATTCAATCAATTAACAGAAAAACAAAAAGAAACTATAAAATGAAGCAAAGACAATAAGAACATTGGAAGCTAGAAAAATCACATAACGGGAAAACACCACCGGTCAAAACTACAAATGCTCTCCTAATATAAAATTTATGAAAAACAAAGCATTAACTCAAACAGCAAGCAATTACTATATGTAAATCCTTATTTACATAAAAAACTGAGTACATTTCACTGACTACACACTTACAGATGCAAAGCCTAATTGATATAATCTCAAGAAACATATTTCAAATGAAATTATTTCACAATTTATCATCAATTTGAATTTCACTTCATTAATTCCTTTTAGAGGTGGGTGATAAACGTAATCAGTATAATCAAGTACCTATAAGCATCGCTTACGGTGATTAGTCTCGCATAAAAGAAAAATCAACGAATCAAAACTGATATTAAATTGATTAATGAAATGTAAATATTCAACTAATCAAAGTTACTGTTTTTGATTATTCCAACTATCAAAGTAGTTGAAATATTAATACTAACATTATTTTTGATTAATTCACGGTCATTCAGCATAAATGATTAGTGTTATGACTCACAAAAATAATCAACTAATCAAAGTTAGTGTTTCCAATAATTACTATTTTAAATTATTCCAACTATCAAAGTCTCATGAGAATAATCAGTTGGTTGAATGTAATCATTTAATAAATCCAATGATCAACTGACCATAAAATTCCACTAATTGCCCAGTTTTACTTCCTCGATTTCTAAAACTTCATATTTGTAGTAAAATAATAACCAAACTAACTAGTGTTACACCAATGTATACTTACCTAAGCAAGCTCCAGTATGTGTGTTGAAGAATCCAGCATTTATTGCCAATAGGCAGTTTCTCTGTGTTGCAGAATTAGCAACAGTCTCTCTAATCTTCAGTTCACAACCCCCAACCTGTTTGGGTTCAAGAATAGAAATAGTCCGTAAAGGATCCGATACAATGCTATAATGTCCTTTGACATATCTATTCCCTACTTTTCTGATAAATCTCTTGATCAAAGGTTCCAGAACTGCTGAAGTGTTTGATGGAATAACTTCATGTGGAATGCCATTATAATGTGCAGGTTGGCATTCTCGAATCTGTCTGTGATTCAAATGGGAACCATGCTGTTTTGTATAGGGAGTCAGGAAATCTTCACTGTAAACACAGAGATTACATAATTACTTTTATAAATCAAGGAATTTCAGATTCATTTTTTCTTAATTTAAGACTAGATTATCCACTATATTTTAATTTTTCTTAA